TTTGCTCCTGATTGTAATCACGCTTCCGAGAGCCATACCTGCCGGTTTTTTGGCTTTCCAAGCAGCACAAAGAAGGCAGAATATTATAAGCGATGGATTAAACTTTTAAGGTAAGATTAAGTTTGATTTTGATCGATATGTTTCTTGCAACGACGACTACGAATCTTTTCAATCATGGCGGTTCACATTGTGCATTATTGTGTACTAAAGAAGCTTTATCCATATTCTAGACGAGCTGACAGATCTCCAGGAAAACACTCAATAGTCTGCAGTTGCCATTTTCGAGATGGAAATAAAGAAAATGGGCCAGAGATATTCAAACGGAACGCTGATACTATGTTTGCTCCTGACGACTACTCAAAGGCGAAGACTGCTAAGAAGAGCAAAGCGAAGACGAATGTTTTAACTCAGCAACAAACGATTGCCGAGATTGTTAATGACTTTAATAATTCTAAAGAGGCAGAACTTGAAACCATAGAAAACAAAGAAAGACCTTCTGTCACAGAGATTGTTCTTAAAGCTGAGTTAGAAGAAATGAGGAGAGAGCTCGAAACATACAAAGAGAAAGCAGCCTACCAGCGTAGTCACTACAGTGTGTCAACCCTAAGTCCTGAAGTGATCCGAATGGAGACTGGTCTGCCCACAAAAGAAGTATTTGACATTGTAATTAGCTATGCATTAAGATTTAAAAATTCGATTAATTATTTTTCTGGTTGGACAGTTACTTCTATATCTTTTGAAGACCAGGTTTTTATAGCTTTGATGAAAGTAAGACAAAACTACACAAATTTGCACCTTGCTCAGTTATTTTCTTGCAGTGTAGCTACTATTACTAATATTGAAATAACCTTTATATATGTCTTACATGAAATAYTTTTTAAAGATATTATGACTACAATACCTTCCAGGCATAAGAATAGCACAAGTTCACCCTCGTCATTTTCAGGATTTGCCTMATGTAGAATTGTAATTGACTGCACTGATATAGAAATTGCTACTCCAGGTCTAATGAGCCAACAAAGTGCAACTTATTCTAGCTATAGGGGTATGAATTCATTTAAAGTTTTAGTAGGTGTTGCACCAAATGCAGTAATTACATTT